GTACATGACTCCAGAGATTGGGCAAGACGTGTGCTGAAGTCGGTCTGGGCTGCGATCTGTGCCTCAACCCTGTCGAGCTGTTGCGACTGCTCTGAACTCTTCTGCTCCGAATCCTGGATCCATTGCTCAACCCTAGCGCCTTGTTGCTGAAGGATCTGGATATCAGCCTCAAGCTGGGCAAAGCGCTCTTCATGCACCGCCTGTTGCTCTCCCATATCCTCATCCCTGTCCTTAACAAGCTCCTTGAGATCAGCCTTCAACTGGCTGGAGACTTCATGGCGGACTCGCTCTTCAACAGACTGGATCTTGGAGACGATCTCGGGAGTCGTACCATGGTTAACTCCACTGGGGCCTTCTCGCTGTCGGAGCCATTGTGACCAGGGGTCCCCACTCGACTTGACCTTTGTGCCCCATGAAGCTTCATACTGCGAGGGTCCAGCATCTGACTTAATCCGCTGAAGGGTCTTGGAGCTGGCGATCACAACCGGTTTGTCTCTCGTCTGATCAGTGGAGCGGACATGGGTGATCGTGACATAGCCACTCGAGAGCCGCAAAGCAGGTGCTGGCGGATGATCTCGAGCTCCAACTTCCCAAGCACAGCCAGAGCCACCTTTGACAGGGTGGAGGGGCTTGATGTCCCACCCATGTTGCTTGAAGGCATCCTGGAGGCCTTGTCGATGAGAGCCTGCAGGAACTGGGCCAACTCGAAACACATGTGCCATGTTGCCCTTCAAGAACGGCTTGGTGGGGCTGACCTTCTTGTGGACAAACTCTGCATGCTTCTCAAGGGTGCGAACCCCGAACCGGGTCCCAAGACGAGCAATTGAAGAGATGCAATCCTCCGTCTTCACAATGTGACGAACCTGTGCTGCTGACATACCTCCAAGCCAAATCACTGAGAACGCAGGGTCTGTGCCAGCACCATTGGTCTGACGCGGCTCAACGTATACCCCACAATGTCCTGAGCTTTCCAGCAAAGAGGTGAACGCGGATTCAGGAACCCTCAGAAACAGTGAGAGGACCTCAGAGTCAGCCTGGGAGCATTTGCGTCCATCGAGTCTTGCCCATCGCCATCCCCAACGATCAATGATGGCAGACTCAGCTCCATTCTCCTCAACCGTAGGGTGGAAACAGCCACACTTGCCATCACATCCTGCCTCTCGACAGAGCTGGAGTGCCCCAATGTGGTCAGTAAGGTGTTTCAATGGCCTCAGCGAAACTGATTTCCAGTCCTCAACTTCATCTCGGAAGATCTGGATTCGGAGCACTCTCGTTGGAAGGACACCGATCTCAGGGGCAGGACCATTCTTTTCACAAACCTCAACATCTCCAAGCTGGAGCGCCCTGCAGCTCACTAGAACAGGCTCCTCAGTGCCCTTGTAGCACGCTGGGACTGTCATGGGCTTCAAGCGGTCATCATCAACAGGGTCCCCATCAATGATGAGAAGCATCAAAGGGCTCATGCTGATAGACTTCTTGTCTGCGATGTACGGGATGGCTGACTCTAAGCGGCAGAAAGCTATGCCAGTAGCCCCCGATCGGACTTCGGAGACATCAATCTGAGCAACTTCCTTACTGTTCGCAAAGAAAATGCCTGACACCAAACTGAGACGTGAAGGCTCCAGCAATGACTCAATCTTGGCCTCCTTAGATTTGCCTTTCCCACTGCCCTTCCGCTTTGGAACATCAGCTGAAGCTCCCCATTTCTCCTTGGCCCTGTCCTCGACATGGCGACGCAATTCATCGTAGTGCACCCACAGGAAGGGTCTGGACTTGCTATTGCCGATGGTCTTGAGCTGAGCCCAGGGGTTCTTGGATTTAATGGCCTCCTCAATCTTGTCTCGTCCGAGTGCCTTGACGGCTGCTTGGATGCGATCTGCCACAAGGTCAGATGGGACTCCCTTGCCCTCAAGAAAGGGGCGTAGCCATTCCTCAAGTGGGTCAAGCTGAGACTTGCCCCCCTCCGCCTCGATAGGAAACAGTGGCAACACCCCATCTGAGGATGGAGTACCAAGCTCTCACATCACCTTCATCAAATGAGTTCCAAAGGCCGAGGCGCCACCCAATGTGCAGCAGGGCTACGGCTCCACAAAAGTTGTCATCGCCCTGTTGGAAACAGCTGGCGACAACATGACTGATGGGCCCACATCCAAAAGTGGCATGAATCATGCTCGCAACAGCCTGCACCTCAGGCTTCAGGCGGTCAGCAATTCCATCAACACAAGTGGCTTCAGCACCAGCATCATGCATGGTATAGTCTAGAACAGACCAATGACCGTCTCGGCCAATCAGTGCCAGGACTCTGGACCCATCAAAGTAGCTGAGCTCATTGCAAACAAGGTCACGCTCTTCATCTACCTGCATGTCAAGCCAGGTGGAGGTCATACGAGGAGCAACAAAATGGAGGTCTTTCGTACCTGCAGCCTGGATCAATGCCCTTGCAGCATACGTCATAGTGACATCATCAAGGCCGGCGTCATACCCTGGGTGCACTGTTCCATCGGCTCTACGCTCAGCAAACCAACGTTGCAGCTCATGATCACGGGCAACAAGCTGGAGCAATGCATGTGTTTTCTTTCCACCCCCCTCTCACAAGTGTGGCGATCTCAAAATGGCTATCAAACCAGATTGGAGTGTCCAAGGAGATGCGAAGGTCTTTGCCAAAGAGAAAAAACGGCACACTCAACTCCCTCAGTGATGTCATAGACAATCTCAAACAGCCGAGTCCCTGCCTCGCATGTTCTAGTGATTGTGCGGCCACACCAGGCGAAAGACAGCGAAATGGTTCCACTCGTCTTGTCAACCTCCTTAGCTGAGCAAATGAAATCTCCTGCTTGTAGTTGATCGTCAGGCATGCTCAGTCGTCCATGGCGGAAGACTTGCAAAGAACTACCCTTGACCAGCTTTTCTTGTGCAGCGACAAAATCTCCGACTCTGGCGGTGCCATCAGCCCGGAAGGCAATTGCAGGTTCACCAAGGCAGCTGACCTGATAGTTGACAGGCTCGTTCATGTGGGCAAAGGTCCACTTCTCATCACGCTGAGATATCAGATCATGTGCAAACAACAGAAGTGCCCCCTCCGCATCAACCGGCACACCATCAGGTCTAGACTCCTCAATCAGCAGAAAGACCCAAGCGGCCTGAAAAGGGGACGCCACTTGTCCGACCAAGCACAACTGATCCTTGAGTGGCTGGGCATAGGTGTAGCCAAGGTCGATCCCTTGCAGAAAGCCAAGCTCAGCTGGGTGAGGATGTCGTGAGACTGAGACGTCATGCCCTGAACGCACCTCGATGCTATGCACACCTCCCCTCAACAATCTGTCCTCACTGAAACCCTTGGATCTGCAGCCACAAGGGCAAGGACGAAAATGTGCTCCTTGGGAATGTAGTGCAGTGGGTGCTTGACCATTGATCTGCAGTCGTCTGTCGGTTTTGCCATACTGGGGATTTCTGAAGATCTGTGTCTCGTGGTCATCCCAAGCCAGACTCCTCTCAGCATCATGACCCCACAATGGCCAGGAGTGAAAGAGGTCTTTGATGGTCTTCCACTCACCTATCGGCAGATCACGAAAGTGCACAGGTGGCCATCCAGCAGGGGTGCCAACAAACCACCAACGGCAGCGGCGACTGGGCCAAAGCCTCTCAAGCCTCAAAGAGCCATCAACTGACTGGAGGCCCAACAAAGAGCAAAAGTCCTTCAACATGGAGATGACTTCTCTACTCTCCCCCGCCCCTGACACACACTCCAGGACGATTCCTCCACACTGTGTGAGCCAACCGATCCTCAAGATCGAGCTCAGCACTTGCGCCCTTGGGTCGCTGAATCCTCGTAGGTCACCAAGCCGAGAGTACGGCTGACACGGGAAACCGGCGGCAATGACGGGAGAAGCGCACCCAATGCATGTGTGCACGGCCCGCATCGTCGATTCATCTTGCAGGTCTCCCTGAACGATGCATACGGTCGAACCGAAATTGATGCTCAGGCTCTTTGTTGCAAGATCACTCACATCACACATCACCTTAGTATTGTAGCCCACTCTGTGGGCCCCCCAGGTCCATTCCACCCAGGCCTGAGCAAAGAGAGACAACACTCCTAGCCATGACTCCCTCATGCGAATCTCCATGGTAACAAAAGACAACCTTGCTATCGCCATCACATTCGATGAAAACTGAACCATCAGGCTGCATACCACAAACCAACCATCCATAAAAAGTCACCACATCATCGATAGCCGCCGGCGATGCGGACCGCACCCAAAATCTCTGTCCATGAGCGAGGCTCCTCCAGCACTCCCCAGCCTGGGACACCTCAATCTTTCGAAGAACCTGGGTGGTCTTAGATCCCACGAGAGTGGGATCCACAAGGCGATCCTGCCAGTCCATAGCACCTAAGAAAAACGCTCCTCGAGGGATCAGCTGAAACGCAGACTCACTTCTGGCAAGGCCTCGAGCCGAGTCTAATGATCTATATATATATATATTAGATTATATATAGAGTATATGTTCGTACACCTATTAATGTTCTAGGTTTTTCCAACCACATGCAGTGGAAGATTGTCATTGTCATGCCTAGTGCATGACAAGATATTGAGTTTCCGGTTCCCGGAATCGAAATCGAAGTATATTCGGAATTTCTGTGTTTGTCATGTACATCTTTTCCCTTGCGTTTTCAAAGTACGCATACAGAATCTGGTATCGCTAGTCAGTCTAGGTGGCCACGGTTGCTGGTCATTGTTCAGTCGACTACAAAGTGATGAGAAGTAGGAGGGGTCCACTAGACTAGTCGAGGTGTGTGTGCACTAGTTTTTGGCCCTGGTATGCATAATAAACACTCCCTACAGGTCCAATGTCCCAGCAAGACCTTGTCCTTGTGCTTTACCAACTGAACCTGAGATCTCCTCACACCAAGACACTCATGATTTCATGACGCACACAAAGCGCTATATAGGCTATAAGGCCTTCCCCGTTTGGACGAACATCTCGTGGCCGCATCTCGTCAGGCCGCGGCCTTGAGTTCTTTGCTGGTGGGACTGACCTTGGCCTTCGCCTACTGCGCCTTGGTCGAACGCAGAGCGACTGACCCAGAAGCGCTGAACCGAACCAGAGCTCTTCTGCGCATCCGATTGAGACGTTGATGTGTGTATATAACTGTACTATATATGGTAATAAATCACAAATGATGTGGATCACTATGCTTGTCCACTCTCGGAGCCATCAGGAAGACCAAAGGTCTTGTTAGTCTTGTTGAATGAAAAAGGGTAACAAGAGCCGCCAATTTAACATATTATATCATGTCTTATCAATTTCCTGACAGTCACACCAACTCTGCGGTCCAGTTTGCCCGGTTTTAGCTTTCAAGCTGGGATGTTGGCAGGCAAACAGTCGGTCAATCAAGATAATGAAATCTATAGGTTCCTGTCTTTTTGCCACAAAACATCTACATCATCGACCCTCTTTCTGTTTCGATATCTTCAGTGGGCTCCAGAGGAGCGCGAGCGCGTGCCTCGCCTTCAGATGGGTCGTGCACAAATCCTGATCCTTCTTCCTGCACAAATCCCAATCTTCATGTGGACGGGGCAAACTGTTAAGACCCTGTCTGACTGTCTTCATGTGGAAGGTGGTGCATGGTGGTGCTAGGTCGTTCGTAGATGACTCGTTAAGACCCAAGGCACCACCGAACGGACCTGAGAGACGGCCGGCCCGGTGGTCAGGCTGGCAGATGGCTTTGGTGATGCTTGGCCCCGCGGCATAGGAGATCTCAACCGACTGCGAAATGGGGGTGTCCAAATGGCTTGGAAGTTCAGCAACAAAAACAGCAGTGCATGTTCCTTCAGGCACAGGTATTAAAAACATGAAGTGACTAAGGTTGATTAAACAAAAAATATGCTTAAACAGCAGTTTTGAACTTATTTTGGTGACATCACCATACCCGCCTTTCTTCAAGGGACACCTGAATGGTTGGGATGAAAGGGAATTTTGCTCAAGAAACACTCAGAGCAAGGCGAAGTCAGCAGATGGGTCCTTTGGCACTTGGGAGTCAGCAAAATGATGGATGTGTAAGTTTAATAGGGAGACACCCAACCAATGGTTTATTAATTAGACTGAATTAGACTGGTCTATTTTCCTTTTGTCACGGGTTCTTTGGCAGTCTCTCTTTTTTTTTGAACACCCGAATAATATTGGAATAGGGAGACCTAGAATGAGCAAACATGGACTAAGCACCCATTGGTTGGGGTCCACTGCAAAGACATACGCTCACCTCAGCTGATTTGCTGATCTTGGACAAAGAGATTCCTCCGAGGTGAAATGTTACTTTCATCCAGTCCCATTTCATTCCCATTTACTTCGAACGGGGTCCACCACCTGTTGCAGACTGTTCCAGTGGTTCTTCTTCCACTTCACACCAAAGGTCCGGTGCGGTTTCTGCATATTTTCTGAAACCAGAAGTTGAATTGAAGCATCTATAGCTGCTATAGCTGCTAATCAGGAAGGAGCGACTGAGGGGTCGAATCCACTTGTGTCTTGACTCATGGAAAGTAGAACAAATAGGGATCAGCACTGAACCGTCCCGACCGGGATGGGAAACGAGATGAAACGAGGCTCCATTCCCATCATGATCTTGGCCAACGCCATTCAGATGATTGTGCTCTTGGGAGCCTCCAAGAACGACAATGAGCCCCTCAGATGCCAGTCTTGGCGACCCTGCAGGTGGAGTTTGGTTCACCAATGTTCACCACGAGAAACCTATTTACTGTATGTTTGCTGTGTTAGCTCAACGTGTCATTACAGATGTCGGAAATCTAGAAGGCAGCAAACCCGGACAACGCCGACTTGATTTGCTGCCTTTGGTGCTTGCCACCATTTGCCACCTGCCTATGACTCTACCCGAAAACAGTTCATCGAGGCAGTTGATGGCAAGTTCAGGCTGAACTTTAATTATGGACACTCCCAATTCTTTTGGTGCTGTTGCAATCCAGCTGAATAGAATTGACCAAACCAACTTGGTGCCGTGATTTTCCTCCACTCTTTGGCTCTTTTCTTTCGCACGCGCCGTTCGATCACGCGCCGTCCAGGAACCTCACGAACGCGCAGCAGATCGTCACGGACAGTTTGATGAATGCCCGGACGGTGCAAGCGTTGGGCGTGGAGAAGGGCTTGGTGGAGATGTACATGACGTGGGCCGCAAGCTGAGTTGTGATGAAGAGTTGTGAAATGCAATGGCTCGGTTGTTGGATGTTGTGTTTCATGAAGAGATGATTTGATGTTATTTTTTGTGATGTAGATAAAGCATATATTTTTGTTATGCACTCCTTGCATCACGCACTTGTATGTTGCACACTCGATGTTCAACAGCTGGTGTTGCGCACGTCAAGATGCCCTTGCATCTTACCAGTTTCAAAATTGTGTTTGGTAGATCCGATCCATGTGACCCACCAACTTTCCTGAATTCAGGACATCCTCAAAAGAGTTCCACGGCACCATACCTAACATGCCACTCACACCGACGGGTCCTGGCATGGGACCCTCCAAACCCTTGAGGCTCTGGATGGCTCTGGATTGGACCCTCAATAGCTGGGGTTTTGATCTCGGGATGTGGTAGATCTTCTGAACAGTTACATATCTAGAGGTCCGGCGACCTTCGCTTACACTGGGCGCGTACGGAAACAAACGACTGTTGTCACGCCTTAAGGTGGAGAAGTCCATGTCCGGCATGTGCAAGCGCAACGTCCTCGCAGGTGGGGAGGAATTGTCCAACACCGAAAACATCTCGACACCTACCAGCACCCGACGACTCTACAGGTCTCCTCTGGTGGCTTTTGCAGACTTTTAAAAAAAGCAGGTGGGTGACCTGTTGCCGGGGTGCTGATAGAAGGAGTTTTGTGGTGAGTTTGTTGAGTTGAGTGTCCCATGACAAGAACGAATCCTTCTGTTTCAGACTTTAGGTGATCCATGATGGCTCGTTTGTTTGCTCTCGACCAGTTTTGGCAATGTCTCGTTTGAGCCATACTTGGGTGATCTTGGGTGAAAGTTCATCGCTGGCGGAGGGACACCTCTTCACAATCTAGCCCCCTGATTTCTCGAAGCCAAAAGGATTTTTTTCACAGAGCTTTTCTTGAACAATCCTGGTTTTGGGGATATCTTGGGTCAGACCCACGTGAAACCTTGACAACCACCACCATCTCTGGTTTGGTCAAAAAAAAGTCGCTCATGTTCCAAGAATCAATTGCTTTGATGGTCCAAATGGGTCTCGTCACCGATTCGCCCGTCTTGGCTCCCCCATGTTCGCCAGGCATTGGCTTCGGAGCAGCTTGGTCGAAAAAGAGACTGGAACGTAGACCGAAGATCGCCAAAACAGGGTACGGGGTGTGGTTCACTGTCAACAGGACAATTACAGTGGTGATGGCGTAGATGGCAGACACCAAGATGTCCTAGACAGATGGGGGTCCATATGAACCACCTAACTTGGGGATTCTTCCATCTACTCTCAATCCACCCTATGGAATATATGCCTACATTGACCCCCCAAACCACCCCAATGTAGGCATATATGGCATACATGGAGCGTTTGGGCACTATAAAGCTCTCCTTGGGAAATTCATGCCGTCCAGTGCCCTCATTTTCTTCAAAGCCAGTACTTCTGGAAGCACACAGGTCAGCACTCGTGCAACTCTCTTCCAGGGCCAATTTACGCATGACCTGAGCTAGTGACTAGTGTAGGTGGTCGTACTACTGGGCTGCAGTCCATTTTGATGAATTTCCCATTGGTAGTTCCTGATGCGGTCCTACACTTGGGCAGCATCATATAAGTCTGTATACACGTCTTGAATATCTTGACAGCTCTTGAGCTCTTGCCCACCGGTGGACGCCATTTGCACGCAACCATCTCACGCCACGCACCCATCTCGACGCACCGACGACGGCCGGCGCGGCGGTTCGCCGAGCGTCGCTGAGATCGCCTCCGGGGTGATGTTCTTCATCATGGCGGGTGGCTTCTACGTCGCCTCCCTCCTCATCAAGGACGAAGCGGAGGGGCGCGAGCAAAAGCACCGGCGGTTCAGGTGTGTTTTTGGGGCGGTTCAGGTGTTCAGGTCAAAAGACAGGAAGCAAAACCGCTCCGGTCGAGTCTTCGAGGGATTTGGTCGGGTCTTCGATCGAGTCAAGAATGACTCATGAGGGGTGCATGGATGACAGATACACATGGTTTTGCTTGGTTGAAGAATGACCCACTGGTAGCCTACAGACCCTGTAAATGTTGGTATATGTTGAACCTCTCAATTATTATGCAATTTGGTATTTTGCAGTGGATGATTGGTAGGTGTTCATGGTGGTCAACAATTCTGTCCAGCATGAAGACTTGCTTCCGTCAGCTCGTGAACCATCCGTTGCCGATATATCTCCCAAGGTCCCTCTTCTAAGGTCCTCTCCTTAACACCTGTCATAGCCATAGTGTAAGACAAACCCTGCGAGAAGGCGAGCACTATCGAGCACTCACTTGTGCAAGCAGAGATGTTCCTCGCTGAATGATGGCTGCAGGCTGCAGTTCCCCACCCCACTGCGCAGTTTGGATCATGCTTGTAGGCCATCCAACCTCCCAGAGATTGGATGATGGTTGTAATCAAGTATTCGTACTACAATGTATATGAGTTGAGAAACTATTCAGCAAAAGCTTCACAAGTGAGTGAGTGACAAAGTGTAGTAGGCACTATCTCACCAGGTCTGAGCACGTTCTGCCCTTGAAACAACTGGCCCACTCAACTGCCCACAAAAACCGGTCGAACGCAGGTCGTGGGCCGAAAACACACATCGCCAGGAAGGAATTGCGGACTTCAAGGGCGTGATGATGGCCTTTATGGGTCGCTTGGTGTGGGACGATGTGCAGTCAACCCCGACTTGGTGGGTGATCTGAGTGGATCAGCTGTTGGTGTTCGTGTTGCTTCTTGCTTTGCCGGGTCAAGTTTGGAGTGTTTTTCTTTGAGAGCACATGCCAGGTCCGAGCATGTGTGTCCTTGAACTGCTAGCAACCAGCCATCTTTGAACTGCTAGGTATTTTCTATGCCGGCATGGGTGCTGGACAGGCTGGATGGGTGCACTGCTAGAAGGAAAGATGATGCTGGACAGGCATCGTGACACTGTTTGAACGGGAGGATCCTTACGCGTTGAATTGGAAGCTCGGTCACTGATTGGCATGCAGTGTATGCTTGTCCCACTGAACAACACTAACTATAGTAGTTTGCCGCCCGAAAGAAGAACCAACAAGCACGGATGATGATACTGTAAGCAAAACTGCAAACACTCAGATGCCCAGAAAGGATGTCGACATCGACGATCTCTCCATTCTTCGCGTCGACGCTCTTCGGAGGCCGCTGTGATGATGGGAGATGCCACCAAGGCCAAGGCGCGGTGAAACCACGACCGAGGAGCAGCCAACGACCGCAAACGGGCCCGGCTTTCGGCTCTCTCAACGTGGTTAATTACTCGGATGTTAAACTGCTGAGGTGAGAGTTTGGTGTTGATAGACTGACTCTAGTAACTCTAGTACTGACTTTTTATCTTCAACAATTCCAGCTCGTCCAGCTGATGGGTTCAGAAGCCACTTTTGCCTGCCAAAGTGTAGGGGGGCAACACACTGCTTCGGGTGCAGGCTTGTCTCTTTGACTATGCCTAGCCTATAGCTTCCCTTATTTGGTATGAACCCAACGGACGGAAAGAAATATGTGTTGACACCTGCCGCCCCCACTATCCCACCAGTCTTTTGGTAGAGAGGTTGGAGCAGGGTCGCTTTCTCAGTTTTTCGTGTCGGCATCGAAGCTCGATGTCCGTGCCATCCGACCCTTTTGAGTCGCTTTAGTCTGGGTGAACCCAGACTCTGATGCTCCCAACAGGTGGCGTGCCATGACATGTTCAAGTTGATGGTGACGTGGATGAACATAGACCAGCAGGGTTCACAGAGGTTAGGAGAGGAGGTGTGGTGGATTTGCTGGGTTTGGGACTCTTTTCCATTCTTTGTGGTCTTGTGCAAGTCGAACTATATAACTAAGACAGCTAAGACTAAGAGCGGAACAATTGCGTTTGAAGCGATCCTAAACATTTCTAAACTAGCACTTCCGGAACTCCTCTCTTGTTGATGACTGACATGATGTCCAATATTGTTATCTTAGGCCGTATTATTCAATTCTTCCATGTTGTGGCGGATTCTTTGGGCAAGTCTGAAACTCTCCTGACCACCATGACCGATCCCGACATGCGGCAGCTGACGAGCCGTTGCTGTCAATAGGAATATCTTGACAGCAGGAATGATAGCAAAGTGGCAGCCCTAAAGGTCATATGAGATATCACCTCTCTCTCCAGTTTGACAGGAACCCATCGAAGAAGACATCAGTATCGCCAGAAGCAAGGAGGATTCAGGATTAGCTTATGTTTCTTGCCAAGCTTCACACCAGACACTCCGAGCTCCATCCGCCAAGTTTCGGAATACCCAATCCAGTGTCAGCAAACACTCCATGGGACTGGAATATCAACACACAGAGTTACATTGGGATGGTGTTTGAACGCAACCCAGACGTTCCATGGGACTGCCATATGCCTACATTGGCTCCCCAAAGCACCCCAATGTTGGCATATATGGCAGTCCCATGGAGCGTCTGAATGCAATGGGCCGGTAAATGATGCCCGTCCCCTGCGTGGTGTCTATAGGCACCCCCAAAAGAATACGAAGAAACACCACGGAGCGACTCCTCCCGGAGGTTCTCCACGCATGGACCAGACCCGGTGAGTTGGAGCAGCCAAGGACCGCCAGTCGCAGATCGAGGGCCTGGATCCCAAGGGCGATTCTCCGGAGAAGTTGGACGCTGGGATCATTGAGTTCAAGGACCTGACACGGGGGGGGGTGAGGTGGTGTTTCTATGGCGCGCCACCTGGCAGTTGAACGACGTTGGGGTGCTGGTTTGGGCGCTGGTTTTGGGGACACCTGGGGGTTGCGAAAGAGAGAAGGGCGTGCTTTTGAAGGGCGAAAGCAGAAGAACGGGTGGGCGCCTGGTGGAATTGATGTTCATAACACTTCTCAATGGCCTCAATTCGTGATCTGGGATGGGTGGGTTTTTGTTATAGGAGCCAGCTGGCAGGTTATAGGTGGCCCAGTGGAGAGCAAAGTCTCAGAACAGTCTGTCAGAACACCTCTTGGATGTGGTGCAGGATTTCTTCCATTACAACGACGGCAGTATACTTCCCTTAGCATCAGTTTCCGCAAACACATTGCAATGTAGGGCTTACCTCAGAAGGTATGATTGGATGTATGACCGATGTACTCCCTGGATGTCCCACCTTTGAAACGAAGATCTTCCTCCTGGCACCCACCGGTCCAACGTTCCCCCTCAAGTCTTCACTCCGGCCGAACCGGGTGAAGGTCCAGCCTTGGTGGGTCGGAACCACGTGGTTCCATGCGGGGTGACCCGTTTTTCGCGGGTTCCATGCGGATGGTTTGGAACGGGCAGGCGAGGGGTTGGACGTTTTCAACCTGGGTTTGGAAGTTCCTCTGAGCCCTTTGGACACAAACCAACCGATTGAGACCTGTCTCTGAGGCGTTTGGGGCGTTTCGAGGGACGCGATGTTGTTTCGCCCGAGGCTTGTACACATGTCCAACCACCAGAACAAGTAATAGCTTCTTGTTACTACTAGTAAGGCACTTGTTACGAACGAAGCGAGGCACTTGTTTCTAACAATATAGTTTTCCATGGATATGAAGGTTGGATCTCTCCGTTGCACCGGAACCGTGCGCACCGGAACCGGGCTTTTTTGATGGCTTCCACACACCAGCCATGGGCAATGATCACTCCAAATGAACCGCAAGCAGTTTGAAGTTATATCATGACCGAACCGTATACCCTGGCTGTCTCTTCCGCAGGAGGTGAAGTTCTTCTACCCCTTCCGTCCGGAGATTCAGGTTCGACCCGGAGCTGGCGAGCTCGAGCTGTGGAGGGTTTGGGAGTTGGTCTTTGGATCGAAAAGCGGAACACTGCCCTCAGTACAGCGGAAAAGGATGGAAAAGGATGTGGTGAGCAAGTGAGATGTGGCGAAGATCGGTAGGTTTGAAGCGTTTCTTCTTCTTTTCTGCCAGTGGCGCCATGGCGAGAAGCCGATGTGGCTCAACCACAATTCGATCCCCAGGTGATGTGGCTAATTCGTCCTCCAATCGTGGGTCGTAGGTTGGGTTGGGTCAGGTCGTTAGGCAGACCTTAATCCAAGCTTACCCAGCTAGGTTAGTCGGTTAGTCCACTCGAAGCCAACTCCGGGCTTTGAAGAGAGTTCAACAAGTTCCAGTTCGGGGCGGAGCAATCCGGTCGAAAGATCCTGCATGAACGCCCAAGTTCCGGAAGCGATAAGGAACAGATTAGACTGAGATGGGTTTGATCATGGAAGTCCATTTCGACTCCATGATGCCTTCGCGTTGCGTGGTTTTTTGAGGACAAAACCTCTCCTTCTGCAGGCGGCCGGGCCTTAGAACACCACGGCCGGTGCTCGTGTCTGCAGGTGCTCAAGGGCATCAACTTCAGGATCACCACGGGTCAATCAGTCGGCCGCCGGGCCCAAAGGGTTGAGCGACAGCGACAAGCCGCAGATCTGCCGAAGTTGGGGGCTTGGGTGGACTATAAAGGTCTGTCAAGAAACGACGGGAAGCGGAGAACACCTCAGATCTCTCAAGATTCAAGATATTCAAGTGGAATGACCACATAAAGGTGGTGCAGGAGTTCTTTCTTCAACAGCAACATGACCAGAGCTTCAGCTCAAATGCTCACGACAACCCTGTGAAAGCCTGGGCGTGCCCTATTGATCCTAGTGCTGAAGATGCGTATGTTGGGGCACTAAACAGAACATGTGCAAATCCATAAGCTCAACCCTTCGACACCCTACAGGGACTCCTCCCGTTCCAGGTCAATCATCACTGGAGTTGATTAAACTCACAGAGACTCGATGAGAGCCAAACAGAGACCGGATTGAAAAGAAGACCTGGTCGGGGCAGCGCAATTGGTCCTTGAACAAGGAGGCCCGACGACCACATGAACTGTGAAGCCAACTTGCTAGGACCATCGAAGGGGAGAGACCCCTACAACTTGCAGAAGATGTTTGAAAACACGCGGAGGTACTCTTTTCGGAAGAGTCATTTGGACTCATGGGGTTCATGGCAGGAACCCTTTTTTTCCCCCTTCCACCATCCTGCCATTGGCTCACTCGCACCAAGGCTTGGTCGGACCCTCCGGCGGTGGCAAGAGTCGCTCGGAGCGAAGGGAAGCGAAGCGAAGCGAATGGACCTGGAGTCGACCCGTACCTCAGAAAATGGGTACTTAAGATATCTTAAGATGGTATACAAGCGATACAAGTACCTGAGTTGAACAGCCTTATAGCCCATCATATGTACCACTACAGGGTCTTATAATAGGTCTCTCAACCTCTCTTGGCATGTTTTACACTCCATGTCTGGGGAGGCTTTTGATGAGTTTTGATTAGGCAACAGTCTACGCCACCGAGACGTTGATGGCGTCAACTGGAGTGTCGCATAGTGTCGCCACCGAGACCACCGGTTCACCTCACCTCTGGTTGTTCAGCACTGTCTCCAATGGGTTCCTGAAGGTTGAACCGCTATGTCAAATGTAGCTCTCCTGTCTTCCAAAATGAGTCGTGTGAGTTATAAGTCTGGGATTCATTCTTCCACCCAGAGGTTTATTGCCCAGGGTTCTTACTTCTCAATGACTAGGTGCCTGTGATCCCCGTTTGGTTTGCCGCTGTTGCCGCAAGTCTCCTTGCTTGTTTCCCCATTTGTAGCGTCCTTGCTCCTAGTAGTAAGGCCAGGAGCCCCTAGTAGCGTCCTTGCTCCTGTCTCCCCATTGGTCTCCTCAGTTGTCTCCCCACTTGTTTGCCTGTTTGTTTGGTATTTTGTTTGCTGCCTTGCTACTGCTGCTGCCTTGTCTCGTTACTTGTTCCCCCCCTCTGGTCTCCCCACTTGTTTTGTTCGATTGGCGTTTTGTTAGCCGCTGTTGACCTTGTCTCCTGACTTGTCTTCCCGCTTGGGATTTTCGTCTCAGGTGCTCAATTAGATTAGCTACTAGCTGGGTCTACGCAGGTGTAATTTGTTTAATAGTAAGTGTTTGTCCTGTAACTACAATCCATTTTGCCTTGCTTTCAGGCACGGTGATGTCGCTGCTCCAGCGCTTCTATGATCCTCAGGAGGGCAGTGCGGCTCGGAGTTGCCACAGATTGGAATCTGCCAGAGTGGATCGTGGACACCGGAATCTCCAACAGGGGGTGATCTAAAGGCTGATTAGACCCTTATAACTAGGGCTTTGACCCTCACAACCAAGGGTTTCGGACGACATTGACATGTAGCAGTTTGAGGGTGGATTCTTGACCGTTTGATGGTTGCTTGTGAAGTTTGTTGCTGGTGACTTCTTTTTTTCCTCACTACTGCAACTGCTGAGCACAGCGCACCGCTACGCCAAACCAGCGCGATCCCACCGCACCGCGGTGACACCTCAGGTCCTCATCGGCGCCGAGAAGCTGCCGCTGCATTCCTTGAACATCCGCTGGTGGCGCAAGCAGCGCCTCGCAGCATTTTCGGAGAACCGGAGGAGGCGGTCAGCCACCGATCAGTTCCACCACGCGCACGGAGTGCACCGCTTTTGGCGGGCGGCACTCAGTGGGGCGCAACGTGGTTGGGTGCGCCCCACAGGGTACGTACTGAGACTTAGTTGGGGTGTGACGCGGCGCCAGAGTTTAGTGAAGTTAGGACCGTTAGGAAGAACCTCAAGGAGTTGGTTTGGCCGAAGTTGAGCGGACTCCAAGCGGCGGGAAAGAAAAGGTCTGCCGCATCTCAACGCTTCTTGCTGGAGGCCTACACACCCCTGACTGAGAAAAACCCTTATATTTATACCCCGTGGATGGGTGGAACCCGGAACCCCATCACTTTTGTGTTGTTCCCTCTTTCCCAATTATCAATCTTCTATAGGACACGTCCTCAACCTCGTTGCATTGCAACCACAAACCCACGTGGACCCGTGAGGCGCTCCGCGCAGAGAGCGCCGTCTTCGCGCCGTCTCCGCGCCGTCTGCGCCCCCTCTGAGGATCGGTTTCGTGGGCCAAGAGCCGATCCTCTTCAACGCCAACGTGCCGCCGGGGATCGGACATGGCTCCGCGCGGCACGGACGCGACACGCGGCACGGAGGTGACTCACCGGTGGGGCCTGGCATCTGGAAGGAGGTCGGACGGAATGGTTCGATCTGTTTGGGTGTTATTGTGTTGTTCTGTTCCATTTGCGCCATTTGGTTATGTTATATTATATATTTGTTTGTTTCAACTCTCTGTTTCAAGAGTGTAGAACCGTTGGACATGAAACCACACCGGAGGTTTGTGGGTCTTTTGGGGGATCACCATCCATTAGGAAATCGGACCGACCTGTCTTTTTTCGGACGCACTGCGCATCATGAGGTGCGCACGAACTTGATGTACGGCGTGGATGAGAGCGACCAGGTGACCGAGGAGTACCTGCGACAGTGCCTGTCTGATATGAGAGCTTGCCGTGGGACCGAAACAACATGCAGCAGGTGGTTTTTGTATGGTTTTGTCTCTGTCCGGTTTGCCTCTGGGCAGAGGATCATTTGAGAATATACTGTCTAAGCAGGTTTAGTGTTTGCATGGAGAACAGAACACCGGTCTTCATGTTTCATCGGCACTGGTCGACTGACAAGTCCACACGCTGCGTTCGGGGATTTCCCCGGTCGGATGGACCGGACCCGGTCTCACACAGAGTTTGCTTCAACTTCCAGCTGAGATGGTGTTCTTTTTGGAAGTTTTTGGAACATCTCACGAGACTCGACGTTGTTTGAGGGATCGTAAGGAGAAGCGGCCCCACGCTGGTATCCAGAGCCGTGCGTGGGTGGGAAAATTGGATTGGAGGGACAGGTGCCATTATGACATCCATATGCGCCATGTGTTTTGTACCCCAGGTCCCACCTACCCCCATGCCCAGGACAGTTGAACATCCTCAGTGAAGAATCTTGCTTCAAATCGCTCACCCAGGTGCGAGAAGATGTGCAACCTAGGCTTCCTCTACAAGATCCTTGGCGTTCGCCCAGTGAGGGTTTTCCGCTGGGGAGCGCGGGTAAGGTTGGAGAAAACAGAGAATCAGAACACCTCTTGACGAAGACAGAGAGCGTGGCTGTCCAAATAATGGTGTCGTGTTTTGATCCAAAACTCATATGGGACTAAAAGGAAGGGTTCTTTTCATTTAACAGCAGCCCTTCGATGGATGCGCACCAAAGAAGAACGTCACCTGGAACCTGACGGGAATCACCTGGTTTATTCTGGTTCGTGAAGAACTCATCCAACTCCGATCTCACAGGGTGTAGGAGTTCCTTTGTTTTCACGCGGTATACGTTTCAGCTCCATCGGTTTCCACCCCTGTTTCACCCTGTTTCACCTGGACGGGACGGTGAGTAGACCGGTCCCCCCTCCAGAAGACCCGGGGTCTTCCGGACCGGTTGCCGGAACCGATCAGAGCGGCTGGGTATGTTGGGATGGTTCCAGGGACCGTCCAGGGACCGTAAAAGATGTTGAGCTTGGTGAACGAGGTGAATCAAATGTTGGATGTCTTGAAATGTCACCGGCTGGGCATGAGGAGTATGATGGAGTATGGACAGTATGGAGTTGTGAAAAGAGCAAGATGTTCTGCAACCATTCAGATTCAAAGAGAGAAGACTTCATATTAATGAGTGATCTGTGGAGAGCCACCAGGTGTTCACACAGACAGACATTTGTGGGTTGGGTGCGGCCAAAAACACCGACATGTTCTAATGGCTGTGGGTTGTTCTGGGGAATTGGCGAAACTCTCCCGGAGAGGTTCCAGAGAAGTCCAATTTGTTTCTCAACGGTCCATCCAACGACCTCCCAACGACGTCCCACTTCCATCCATCATCTCACTCTGGGCGACCCCCCCGCGCTGTACAGCGCGACACTGGGCGACCCGCGCTGCCCAAACCCTTGCGGCCTCGCCCTCCGCTCCAGGAACGGCAACCAGGGCTTAGAGACCGAAGTGGGTCCCCGTGGATCACGGCTCAGCGGTGGGCAGAAGCAGCGCGTGGCCATCTGCCGAGCGGTGCTGCGTAATCCAAAGGTCATGTTGCTCGACGAGGCGCGCGTCCGCCCTCTGCGGGGCATTTGGGCGGTGCATGTGGATGGAGTGATGGTGTTGTGACGCCATGGCAACACCTTGAGTGAAGTGCGTTTGAAGGAAGTTGTGTTTTTTTTTTTCCAGATTTGGAAGTGGGAGTTCTCTGCTCTTTGCCAGTTCTTTGCTCCCCATCAACAGGATGAGGCAGCGTATAGGTTTAACCTTTTTTGTTCGAAAGCGATGCACCTGACCTGACAAACGTGAATATGGTGATCCAAAGGTGCGCTGAGCAAAGGTACGTGGGAATGGGTGCTCTGAGGCAACCAGGGGTGTCTCACGTACGTGGTTCATCAACCATTTGGACTAAGAGTGATGAGATTCACAACGAAACCAGGTTTCAGAAAGGGGGTTTGAGTATTGGAGCGATTCTCTAGCAGTGGCAGGCGGAATTATCGGAATTGGTGGCAGTGCCCATGACTCTTCGCACAAATACTATATTAATGTTTGCCTCTACGGCCTCTACGCTTGTGTGGGGTTGATAAACAGTTCATTTAATATATAATACAATATACATATATATACCAATTTTGGGAGAAAAAGGGCATTCCAGAGTGACACTTGAACATGAGCAGTCATGTGGGCGGAGAGCCATAGGAATCACCATGGGCTTTCGGGGTGACTTGCTGGCAGTTTCTCATTCAGTGCAAAGCCACCTATGTTGGCCGATCCTCACATGGATGATCCAAAACATCCTGCCAGTACCCGACGACAAACAAATCTCCGTGTGTGGTGGCTTTCGAATAGTTAAAAGATGTTAAAAGGTGGTGACCTGTGAAGGCGGGTGCTGGTATACATAGCTTGCTGATTGAAAGATCTTGAACGTGTGGATATACAGTATATTACACATGTAAATATGACGTCCTGCCCGCATGGGTTTGAAAGATCACTGTCCAACACAATGCTCGAAGGGTCAGGCTGTCAGGCTCAGAGGGTCAGGCTGTTGGTTTTACCCCCCTGACACCGAGTAGTGGCCTGCGGCCCAGCGCTACACAGACAGATGACCGTGAGTGTGATGTGTTGAGGGAGTGCGCATGATTCCTACAACCGCTGGAGGGCGGCCTACCAGCGGTTGTTGAGAAAAGGAACCCGAACACTGGCGGAATGTTTGTCCGTTTCGATGTGGGTAGTACTGAAAAAATAGTGAGACGCCAGGTTGACCTCCAGGTAAATATACCAAAAAGATTCACAATAACCTTATGTACACCCACAACAAAGCCGTGGCTTGCGGCGCATGTTTGCCTTCGATTGCTGATACCTAAGTCGATCGCTGACCGTTCGATTGGTCCTGTGCCCAAAAAACTGCCAAAGTGCGGACCCTTCGACGCTGTGTCTTCAGTCTGCAGTGTCTGTGTCTTCGTCGCTTCTTGGATCACATCGTCCTCCGTCTCCCTGTTGGGCTGGGGGTTTTTGATGACAGGTCGATGACGTGATGACGTGGATGAAAACAGCGAGGATTTTCTCATCCAAAGGGTTTTCTTGGATGCTAGGTCGTCGGTGCGTTCTTTCTTCCGGCTTTGCGAAACGAGTTCTCCTCCCTGAAAGAAAAACTGGACTGGGACTTGGCCATCGCCATCGCATCTACACAGACTTGGACTACGTACATCAAGAATCATCAAGATCTACGCTAGCTCCTTTTCAAAGACACGAGTTTAATCTAGGCAAGAGATGTTCGAATTAGGCCTGTTCCATGAGGGTTGAATGAGCCACATGACACATGTGCTGACCGCTCCTGTAGGGCCCCAGGGGAGGATGGACTGATGGGGTTCACAATGTTTGGTTGAATGAACATCCACTCCTTCCAACCAATCAATTCAACTGATGGATCAAACCTTCACTCACTTTATAGCTTTTTTTTAACAACGGTTTCAATGTCTTTCTTTCCAGTCGTACCCACCGGGCGCCGCACATCGACGAGGCCACCAGCGCTTTGGACACCCAGAGCGAGACCATTGTGCAGAAGGCGCTGTCGTCGTGCGCGACCGCGGTCGGGGGTCGGACGTTTTTTTGGTCCCTGTGCTGTTTGGTTGAAAAGCCCTTCAGACAGATTGTCGCCTCGAATAACTGTAATTCTATAATGCGCCACTCTTCCACCCACTCCCCCACTCCACACCGCCCGCTCCGCCCACCCCACCCGTCGTTCTTGCGAGGCCTTGGAGGCGGCGCTCAAGGGCCGCACCAGCTTCGCCATCGCCCATCGCCTGTCGACCATCCAAGGCGCCGAAAGCGACCGATCCGCTCGTCCCGCGACCGATGGGAGGAGACGTGAGGGTGCTGTCATCGGGGGTGCGAGACGGGTTTGGTCTACCCGGACCCGACTTCAAGTACCTGAGAACATGGGACATGGCGGACGACCCTGTAATAATTATCCATGGTAATTAGATATGCCAGGGCCTCCTAAGGGGTGTCTAACAAATATGTCCCTTCGAGGCTTTCCGTCCATTCACCACCCCGTATACTAATAGGCTGCCCTGGTACACTTTATACCATCTTGTACCTCTCAGGTACGAACGGGTCGACTCCAGGTAGCTACCAAGAGGTGGTCTCGGGTGCGACCTTTTTGGCACCCCCCTTTCTTGAAGAACGGTGGACGTCCGGACGACGGATGAAGCATCACCGTACTAAGCTCGAGAGTGGCAGTGACGCATGGTGATCCAACTTGGCGGATCTCAGGTATACACATGAAGTCAAGGGGAAACATATCAACTCTTCGCGGCTGGGATGAGATCTATTTTTCGGCCCCTCATGCGGTTTTATCCTTTTTGGGGAGACTCCAGATGATTCAGAAGATGATGGAACAATGTGTATATCTCCGCCGCGGTGCTCGCTCTTGGGGCGCCGCGCGTGGTGCTCGCTCGTCGCAGCGGGCCGTCGCGCCAGGCTGCGACGTGATCCTGGTGAACGCGGACGGCCGGGTGGTGGAGAGCGGGAACCACTCGGAGCTGATGGCTCTGAAAGGCCTGGATGCGGAGGACGCGGTTTGCTGGCGGAGGGACGCAGTTCAAGGCGTTCAAAAAGGAAACACAATAAGAAAGCAAGCAAAGAAAACCATCAAACAGACTCAAAAGGTCTCCCCGTTTGTAGAGGAGTAATTTGAAGTGGGGAATGGTGAAAAACTCATGTTTGAGCCCTGGCGCAAGATTGGCCCATCGACGTGTTTTTCAGATTTAGCAACCTGCTAGCTTCTACCTGCTCCTAGCCGTGAGAAAGAGGAACCTCTTGATGAGGAGGCTGACTTATCTTTAGGCAGGATGGCCTAGAAGGATTCTAGTAGATTCTTGTTTCTAGTTGTCACCGCTTGGAATTTGCTTCATTTGTTTGCTTCATCCGTTCAGACTCTTCAATCGTGAAGACCCCAAAGCAGACCCATGAACACCCACTCCAAGGAGGCCAACTCCTATTAATCAATTAAATATAATTTATAATTGAATAAACAACAGATATAACTCGTGTTTGGGAGCTTTTGTTGGAGTTTGTTTGACATTTGGATAATTTTCAGGGTTGGTTCATGCGGCTGTCCAGCAATTGTAGCCATTACTTGCCAGGTCCCACCCGAAGATCGCCTCAGGTGTCTACTACAAACTGCAGATGCAGTCGCAGAAGTGAGGCGAACTCTGAAGACTTCGCCTTCCCAGCTGCTCTGTTTGCTCCGCGGGGCCTACAACTACCCGCCGGATTGGCGGGTACAATCTTCAGATGGGGTGAGAAGAGCGCAGCGACGTCCGGATCGCGACGTGTCTGTGCCTCGCAGTCCTTTTCTGCCGTGGGCGGCAGGTTTGCACGGGGGGCAGGGTCCCAGAACAGCTCGGGAGCCTTTGAAGTGGAAGAGATCCATCTTTGATTCATTCCCTTTCAATCATGAGGCCGTTTCTTTTTTTTCAACATTCAGGAGGCCGCAGACTCTGGACTAATCACAGAGGTTCGTGAGCAGCCATATTGACCCACATGGAAATGAGATCTCTTTTGCCGCAGTCTTGCAAGGTGCCCCCGAAGAATCTGTTACATAGAGATGACAACCACAATGTGTCACTTGCATTTGGTGATGCCAAATTTAAACTGGAGTCGATATCAGGGGCACCTCGCTCTTGCCTGTAGCAGGTCTGTGTTTTCGGCGAAGTCAACATCAAGACACCCAATGACTGACCAAGCGAAAGCGACTCTGAAGCCGAAGGCACAGTTTTTTGTGGGAGTATTCCAAGTCTACCTCCCTTTTTTGCCAAGACGATTTGTTCACCACGGATTGTGGTGCAGATCAGTTTGTCCATGCAGCATGTGTTTGCATCAGTGCAGATCCGGAACCCTGAGTTCTACGGTTCGTGGATTGGGGTTTGGATCTCTTTGCGGGAGCGGCGGGCTTCAAGCTATGTTCATGGCCGAGTTTTACTTTTTTTTTCCAGAACAATAGCAGCAGCTTTATTAAGTGGATATCTTAGGATGCATTTACCTGTAGCGGGAACGCCAGAATAAATGCTTCTACGTGGAAGGAGCAGAGCTGTGTTTTGTCAATGTATTTTGCGTTGTCGTGGCTCCCACCAATCGCAGCTTAAACCCATGTTCAGCCCCTTGGACTTGCAAGAACCTGTCAGGGCCGCCGCTCGTGCCGTTCGTCAAAGAAGGAATGTGCCAACGAAGGCCCCCGAAGGCTCCCCCCGGTCATTTGCCCGTGACCGGTGTCGTAAGGATCGAGAAACCAGTGTCGTGCCCCCCATTCCCAACCTTTCACCTGCGACATTTGGGGCGGGGTTTGGGGCGTCTCATGGCGTCTCAACGAAGCGATTGGTGGGGGTGGGTGATTTCCTAAGTGCCCCAGGCCTCAGCTTCCGGGCTTCCAGAACGTGGGCGTCATTTTCTGATCTGGTTGCTTTGCCTGGATGTTCTATTCCAACCGTTTTCTGATACCTTCAGATGCAGAAAAGCTACCTCCCGAAGTGTTTAGTGGGGATTTTCCCAATCGGCATTTTGGGGGATAGTAGCAAAAAGGGCATGGAGGGCAAGTGGTGAAGAAGAATCTTTGATATGGCGATAGTATCCACATAGCAGTAGTGGTAGTCTGGTAGTCGCTTGCATAAAGATACATATATTTGGACCTTGCAGTATGAGGCCCATATACAGGGTGAGGGCCCGCACAGTCGGCCGTAGCTCAACAGTGAACCCAACCCACCACCTCCCAAAGCGCTGCCACAACCGCGGAACGCACCGGTGTGATGCCGATCCGCCACATGCCCGGGGCTCCCACGGATCGTAGGGGTCAACACGGGCGGGTGGGGCATTAACACGACGATGAGTTGCGCGAGCGGAAGAAGGGTCTTCAATGAACCCGCCGGTTTTCCCGGACGGCCAAGCCGAGAGGAAAGCATGCAGGGCGTGCGTGGCCGCTTCTTCCGTTTCCCAGCGTGAGATGGGCGAACATTTGAGGCCATGTTCCATCAACCAAATCGTAATCCGAAATGAGTCACTTGCAGTGATTGCTGATCACCACACTCAGCACATCCACTCTGGAACAGGCCACCTCTTTTCTGGGAGTTTTTTTGGAAGAAGTGGTGGACCTGAATTTGCGAGTGGTTTGTTTTCAATGTCTTTTTTCTTCTGGCAACGTCAAGCAGCAGATGGGCCCCCACTTGGCTGGGTGTTTGCAAGGCAAATGCTGTGGACACATTAAGGTGACAGATGCTTTGGTGTCCGCTGATGTTCTTCGCCTTGGCAGTTGAAAAGGGAGGTTGATTTAAGTAGAACTTGCCTAAGTTGGGATTCCCAGGTCCATCGATATTATGTACAACTGATTGGGATGTTACTGCAAAAAACATCGATCGGATCGTCGATCGTCCGTCTCAAGCTGCCACACGAACGTGTGGGGTGCTCTTCTCGCTTTTTCGAGAGCCGCTACGAAGTTTTAGCACTCAGACTGGTCTTGCAGCCGAAGGATTGCTGATGTTGGGACCTGTGCACAGATCCATTTTCATACTCACAAAACCATTTCATCCTATCCCAAAGACAGCAAACGTTCATCTCCCTATGGATCTACATACGTTCTGAGGTACGGTGAGCAGGGAGACTATTGATGTAGGCGCCCTTATGTGGGCCCAAAGGAGCCCAGTCGTACTGTTCCACCTGAGTTCGGTGGCAGTGCATCCTTACTGTAGGGCATCAACCTACCTAAGAAGTACATCGATCACGTGCAATCTTTTTGTATTTTTTTTTGGGGGGACACATGAGGGACCCCCCACGGAGCCTTCGAGGTGGATCAGGTTCAATCCAAACATTCCTCTTTTTCCACGGATCGAGTGTCGCCGATTTCGCACCGGTGCTGCGGTTCGGACGAACGGTTGAAGCGTCTGCCGCAATTGGGCCTCCAACCACCTGAGGTTCAGGGAGTGCCGGGGTGGGTGGGTGTGTGTGTCCACCGAGTTTCGGATATGGAACGGGAGCCCAATTGAGGTCCGAGAAGGTTCTTTCCTGACAGTTTTGATGCATACCATGCGACTTGAATCGACTCGATGTGTTCCTCTTCTCCCGTCGAAGAAGACGTTTGTAACATCGAGAAAGCCATTCCCACTGGCGGTGACCAGTTTGCTTTTCACAAAGTTCCAAACTCAGTGAATCTTCAACAGTCGCATTTATGAATCTACAAAATCCCAAACCCAACGACCGTCTTGCATGCCTATCGCTATCCTTTCTGCCCTCACAAAGGCCTTGTCATTCGCGTCAGCAGTCGACGGCGGCTTGGTCTGGCGAAGTCTCGGCTCTCCTGTCCGGCGAAGAAAAGAGACTCCGAGCGAGCGGCGATGCCTCGGAGGGAGGGCGATGAGGCGTCTCGGCGTCTCGCTGGGCTTGGGCCACGGCGTCCAAACAGTCGGAAGAAAAAGGGAGAACACTGTTCGGAGTGTGTGTTTGAATTGTGTGTTTTTTTCTTCTATGTTTTTTTGGAGTCCCAGCGGTTTCCGTATAGACATTGCTTTGTAAGTCTCAGTCGTGGGAATTTGTAATGGGCACCTGTTACCCTCCAAGTTTGGCAACCAACACTTTGAAACTCAGACCTACAAGTGAAAAAAGACCCGGGTCCTTTAGCTTTTTGAGTGCTGTTTTGGTACAAAAACTCCAGTCAAATGAGGTCATTGACCTCTAGTGATTGATATTGAAATGGCATGAACTGATGGTCATTCCGATGGTCGTTCCAGTGGACGGAATCGCCGCACCACACCGCGACGCACGCGTGACGCGTGGGACCAGCGAAAGAGAGAGCGGAGCAGAGCAACGGTGGTCGTTCCCCGGGGGGCCAAGGCAGCCGCTGTGAAGGGGGAACTCTTGGGCTCGGGTCCATGTTCGCAGGTTCAACTGGTTCGAAACAACAGACACAACAGTGCTGAAGGCATCGGGCTTCGCCCTGACAAGTGTCCTGAAGCGGGTTGAGCATGAAATGACACCGGACGGACAGAAATGGACAGAATAGCGAGGTACTGATATATCGATCTTCGCGCGCGGACGGTACGATGGTACTGAGTGGTCTTTTCAGATGTAACACTCCGACATCCAGTTTCATATCATGATATCTGGAGGTTCACGGAAAAAGACATTCTCAGCAATTGAAATGGTGAGGGATGGTCCTTGAAACCTAGCTTCTCCACTGGGAGCAGAGGGATGGTATCAAGTCACGAAAAAGGGTCATGAAAACGCTAGGCGTGGACACTTTGAGACATGATCCCTAGATCATTTGACTGAAGCTGATTTTGAACTAAACACACGCACACACACACACACACACACTACTCAATGAGGGTCAGGCAGGACTTGTGTAGAGGAGATTTGTTCAATCAATAAAAGAAACAGGGGCAAAGATATAAACTTGACATAGCGTGACACTTTTTTGACATCGATATATGTTCATATAGACTTTCGATATCTTGAGTTTGAGACATGAGACATGTAAACACCAGCACCCACATCAAAGTGTTTTCTTTGTGCGTTTGTATTTACTTCAGTGTCGTCTCACCATCCTTTGGGTGGGTGCGTTTCGATCAAAAGGACTGACTCCAACAGGGCTCAACCGGGGAAAACCATCTGAACAGCGCCCGTCAACGCCATGTCGGACGTGCAC